TTCTGTGTGAATCTGGGAGTTTTGGTGGTGTTCTTTGACTGTAGTTGGTATAAGCTAGGGAACAAATGCCTAGTTCCACTGGAGACCGCAAGCATTTTGTTGCTCACTTTTGTTATCCTGCGATGCATTTCAGTTAGAAGACTGGTACTGGCAGTTTTAATAGGTCAGCCTTATTCAGGGAGCCCTGGTTTTCTGGCTTCCTCAGTGTGCAGCCGTATTGTGTTATCACCAAATCACAGAATTGTTGAGGTTGGAAGGCACCTCAGGAGGTCATCTTGTCCATCCCCCTGCTCAAGCAGAGTCACCTAGAGCCAGTTGCTCCGGACGGCTTTTGAATATAGCCAAGGATGGAGACTTCACACCACTTCTGGGCAACACGTGCCAGTGCTCGGTCACAGTCATGGTAATAAAAGTTTTCCTGATGTTCAGGGGGAAATCTCGTGTGTTTCAGTTTGTGCCCATTACCACTGAACCTGTCACTGGGCATCACTGAAAAGAGCCTGGCTCCCTCTTTTGTGTGCCCTCCTTTTAGGAATTTACAGACATTGGTTTGAATTTATATACGTTGGTTTGATCCCCTCAAGGCTTCTCAAAGCTAAACAGGCCTGACTCTTTCAGTCTTTCCTCATGGGAGGTGCTCCAGTCAGTTGTCTTAGTGGCCATTCGCTGGACTCTGTCCAGTATGTCCATGTCTCTCTTGTACTGGGGAGCCCAGAGCTGGACACAGTCTCCATATGTGTCTCATCAGTGCTGAGTAGAGCCCTCGACCTGCTGGCAACACGCCTCGGAATGCGGCCCAAGATACATTAACCTGCTTTGCCTCAAGGGCCCATTGGCTTATTGTCAACTCGAGTCCACCAAGAGCCCTGGGTTCTTTTCTGCCCAGTTGACCGCAGCGTGTGTTAGTGCATGGCGTTGTTCCTCCCCCGGGAGAGGATGTTGCAGTTACCTTTGAACTAGATGACTAGAAGGGAGATGATAATATTTTGTATGAAGTATGTTAATACCAAAACTACTGTTTGCCTCTTTTGATTGAAGGAATGCTGGTAAAGTCACTCAGAAGAGGTGGTGTCTGTAGTGTTAGCTTCTAGGAGGGAGACACTGAGAAGTGTATTCAGGACTGTTACCAGCTTTACCTGCTGATGCTCTTCAGGTGATAATGGCAATAGATTGCTGACAGTGATTGATTATTCAGCCTTGGAGATTTTAATAGGATGGACAAACATTGTTAAAGAAAGGCCTTGCATGCATCTGATCCTGTACCGTGGCAGTACTGTGGAATAAAAGACCTCTCGAGTCCTCCGCAGACTTTTTCTTTTTTGTGTGAAGCGATTGCACTTTCCTGTATGCTAATATGTAAGTCTAATTTCCTCAAGATGTACTTGTGCTACACTTTGAGTTCAGATGTTTGTGTTCACGTTGCATCTTTGAATCATTAGCATTTGGGCAGCCGTTTGTGGAGATTTTCCAGCTAGCAGTGGCTTCCAAACAGCTGTCTCTGCTGCCAATAACAGACTTGATCTCCCTCCCATTCCCCAAGAAAGGTAATGTTCAGATAAACTGGAGTACAGTAACACATTTCCTCTCTTTGGACACTGGCTTCTTACTATCTTGGTGAATGTGGGTGTAAACACTGCTGAAATTACTGGGATTTTGCTTCTGAAAGCATTTCTGAACGTGGGCGGTTTTTTCAAAGCACCAGCAGAAGCAGTAATCTAGCTTCTGCTTAAATCTGCAAGAATAGAAGGCACAAGCAAGTCAACTGTATTACAGCTTGAGTTCCCTTTTAAAATATAACCATCAGAAGTAATCTGGGAATGAGCATGGAAAAACATCTGGGCCCTGCTCCTGTGTTCATATTTGTGGAAGTGGATCACTTACAGGCATTGTTGATAGGGACCTAGGGAGTTGTGTAAATCTGCGCTGTTGGGTCAGCCTGGGGGATTAGGAGTGTTTTTAGACATACTTTTGTACAGAATTCTGAAAGATGCAAAAATGTTCTAGTAGCATCACAGATTTATTGCTTTGTTTTTTGGGGGGGTTGGTGGTTGCTTTTTTTTTTTTTGAATCTGCGTACAAGCCTGACTTAAGGAAGGATGATGAAAAGAGATGAACCTGTGAGTTAAATAATCCAACGGTAGATATAGTTATTGCAATTCCCACATAACTTTGAGGATGGTAATACAGGAAGACCTCTTCTGTTCCAGAGCTAAACAGCTTTTCAGCCAGGGAGAGGAAATGGTAAATTGTTGCTTAAGATTTACTGCAGTGACTTACTCTCCACTAGAGTGGAGTTACTGAAAGTATTAGGAGTCTTTGCTTTGTTAGAAAACACTGCTGCAAACAAGCTAGCTGCACTAGATCTTTTCTTGGAAGACAATGCTCTTCTAACTTGATATCCTACAACTTCAGCAAGCCTGTACCCACAAAACCCCACAGATATTAATCTAAAGTCAGTCAGTAGCAGAATAGGAAGCTGCACTGAGAAGCAGGGTCCTTCATGCTTAATCCTAAAAGGTAATAACATAAGTTTATAATAGTATTTCAAATATTTCTGTATGTTTATCCCATACAGATGTGTACTCCTTAAAGTTGCCTTTATAGATCTTTCTTGTGCTTCCGGAGCAGCTTGTGGTGTGTCAGTTGTTAAGTAGCAGAAAGCTCTGTGTTCATGTTTGTATTCAGTGAGTCTGGAGCAAATAACATTACGATCATTCCTTCATTTTTTGTAGCATTTGGATTAAAGTAGAAGAAGCTGAAGCATAAGAAGTTCCAGCTAAACACGAGGAAGAACTGCTTTACTTTGACGGTGATGGAGCACTGGAACAGGGTGCCCAGGGAGGTTGTGGTGTCTCCTTCTCTGGAGATATTCAAACCCCACCTGGACAAGGTCCTGTGCAGCCTGCTGTAGGTGATGCTGCTTCGGCAGGGAGTTTGGACTAGATGATCCACAGAGGACCCTTCCAACCCCGAACATTCTGTGATTCTGTAATTGAACAGTTCTCTTTTAGCTTTTTCTTGAACAGATCCAAAAGACTAGATGTACTGCTTGTCTGTAATACACAGAAAAGTGTACTGGCTGACCAAGCCAGCAACAGCAATGCTGTAATACCTCTTTAGACTAGCAGCTGGTGATTTGTCTGTCTTACACAGATCATACTTTTTTTTAAATATGCTGAGCAATTAAATTGCAGTTGAGATAAAAAGGTTGTCATGTTGGCTGGGAGATTCTTGATTAGCAGGAGGAGAAAATGGCATTGAGAAGTATTGGTTTGAGTGTATGCTTTGTTTGGTAACAAAACCTCTTTTTTTTTTATTTTTTTAAAGGAAAACTGAAAAGCTTTTACTTGTGTTGCTGTCTGCAATTCTAAATGGTTGCCTTCATTATCAGTACTTGTGAAATTGCTTGTTCAGGAAGGCTTTAGAAAATAATTTCCCTGAAGAGGTACCAATGTAGCAAATGCAAATTAAAAAGAAAATAACTGACCTTTCAATATTATACATAGCAGAATAAGCAAAAAGCAGGGTGGGATGACATTCCACCATTTCTCTGTTGCTTTGAGGTTTTGGGAGATGGGGAGCTAAGTATTTTTGAATGTGTTTGTGATTTTTTTTTTGTTTGTTTTAGATAAACAGTGATACATGTATCTCAAGTTTTGCATACATATAGATTAGTAGGCTAGTGGATCTGGTATCAGGAGAGTGGAAAAAACAGCAATAGGGTTTTTATCATGAAAATCTTAGTATTTAACTAAAACTCCAAAAGAAGATGAGGTGGATGGAGGACTATGTCTTCTTATGATGTTGTTCAGCAGCCCATTCCCTCCCAACACAATGAATGGTTTATCCTTATTAGGGGCTGTACTTTTATTTATAATGCCTAAAAAACTTGGTATTTTGAAATTGCATGTAAAAATGTAGTTTTAATGAAAAAAGTTCTGCTAATCATTGTGTATGATTACAAATGCAGGCAAATCTAGTCTTTCATGTCTTTCCTCTATTGACTTCATGGTTTTTGGATGGAAGGGGAGGGAGAAGAGGGGTAGACCAGGGCTGGTCGTGTTTTTCCGCTATAATGTTGTATCGTTATTCTCTACGCTTTACTACTTTCAGCTCTTATTTTCAAGCCTGCTTTGACAGTATTAGTAGGCTCAGGGATATTTTCTTTCTTCACAGTAATTCTGGGAATAGTGACTCTCTTCCTCTCTCCAGCTTTTTTCTTTAGATGTAAAATGCTAGATCAGTTCCTTTTTGTATAAACTAAACCAAATTTAGCTTTAAAGGCTGCATTTTAAATTTGGTTCAGTTAAGAAGTGTGGGTTTTTTCAGGTGGGTGATGAAACTTGGCTAAATTACAAACTTTAAGCAATCTGATATTTCATTTGCCATCCCAGATACTGCTTTATCTATAAAGCATCGTCTTTTGAAACACTTTTGCATTGGTAAAGCACAGTTGTAAAGCAATTCACACTAAACACTAGATAGCAGAGGAGGACAAAAGTTGGTTTGCTGTTATATTGAGAGTAATTTCTTATAAGAGTTACTCTCTTTTATCATCATTTTTCTTTATTGCTGTAGTTTTTATTTGGTGTATTTATTGAAGTATATAGTTTCTGAATAATAGATGAAGCAGATACATCAAGCACTAAGCAGAATATGCATATCCTTTAGCAAATTGTTTAACCGTATTTGTAAAATGGAATAATGTTCAGTACAGATGTTAATGTTGTACATTTGTGGGGTTTTCAACAACACCTCTACGTTTTCAAATTGTAGGCACGATATTGTGGGCATGCAATTCTTTGACCATTAGTACATTGTTGTAAATGAAGAATACCTAGTTGGCTCAGGCACATGACTAAGTTTGCTAACTCTTACTGTGTAAGTTGGTTTGGGGTCTGATTACGCAGATTAGTGCTGCAGTACAATTTCTGGGGTGCCAAGCAGCATGTTGGTATGGGAGGAAAGTTAACTATCGTTAACACTGGAGGAAGAGCAGGGAAGAGACTCGTGCACAATTATCCGCCTTCCCACCTGCACAGGCTCTGGATTTGGGTTCTGTGGATTTGCAAGTCTGAAGGAGAAAAGCATTAAACTTTTCCAATTATAATTTTCATAACTATCTCTTGAAATACCTACTGGTTTCATAAATACTGCTTTTCTTTCTTTTGATAAAGTTTGAGAAACCTTGTGATAATGGAATCAACAAAATGTGGCAGAAGGAATTACTGCTACTGGAATTACAACTTCTAAAGATAGCTGTCTGTCGTGATCGTTCTTGATTCTAAACAATAATGTCTTGGTTGATGTTTACAGATGACTATGGATGAGAAATATGTGAACAGCATTTGGGATCTTCTGAAAAATGCAATCCAAGAGATCCAGCGTAAGAACAATAGTGGTCTCAGTTTTGAGGAGCTGTATAGGAATGCATATACAATGGTGTTGCATAAACACGGCGAAAAACTCTACACTGGACTAAGAGAAGTGGTCACTGAGCATCTAATAAACAAGGTATGTCATTTTATGAATTAAAATTGAAAGTGTACTATGTGAAAGAATTCTGAATAGTTATTTAAATGACAAAAAAATCTTTATTATGTTACTGTGTTGCCTTGTGTTGAAATTGTATGGCTACCCTCAAAAATGGTAGCTTGAAGCTAACATCAAGCTTAAATGACTTTATGTTCCAGATACTGTTTGTTGTAAGTTGCTGATGGAGGGCAGACCATAGGAAGTATTTGAAAGTGTGTAACAGGAAACAATTTTAGCTGAGGCATAACTATTGGGAGCTGGGATTTTTTTAAAAAAGGTTTGTGGCCATTTGATGGTGTTTTGTGAACAAATTTTGGTTTGTTTTCCAGTCAGTTTTTTCATCTGTGGAACAAAATAAATACCAATGTAAGAACCTGTGTGTTATGGGCTAATGAACTAATTCACAAGTTAATGAGCGAGTTGTGTTAGGATTACACTATTTAAAGGGGTGGTAGGCAATGTGCAAAAACATCAGCTCAGCAACAACAAAAGTCCTGAGTAGTCTGCATTCTACCATTTCAGCCTTTTCCAAACCATGTATTTCAGTCAAAACGACATGCAGAAACTTCTAGTTTCTGAAGATATGTCACCTGAGAAAAGGGATCTTCACATTTTGTGTTAAACCGTGGAACCAGCTCCTCAGTCTTTGTGAGGAAAGTTAAGGGTTGATTAATAAGTATGTCATTGAAAAAAAAAGTTGAAACTCGCTTTTTGAGTCCAGGTAATATTTAGTAGTAATAGAGCCCTAAGTCTGGGGAAGATGCCTGCCTTAGTCCTTGCGGTAGCATCCATAGCTGCCTGTCTTTGAAGAGAGGTGCATGTCCACTTTGATCCCATGTAGTGGCTGTGGGTCGAGATGAAGTAGCAGATTTTTGTCCTGTTATTACAACATTTGAAAAGGAAGGTCATACACCATCATGTGTCTTGGATGATTACTTCTGGCTGATTTGCAGACAGTAGATGGGACGTTTATGTCTAAATAATGCATAATGCTTGGGGAGCTTTTGCGCATTCTAGCTGGAATGACTGCTGTGGCAGAGAAGTGTGTTATTTCTTTTCTAAAATCTTAGTTTTCAAAGGTGTGGTCCAGACAAGTATAGTCTAAACCTACTTTGAATATGGGCCTTTTTTACTGTTTGCACGAGAGGAAACATCCTCTATGAAGTGGCTCTGTTCTATAGTTGTAGCACTTCTGTGACTCTCAAACACTTCTGTCCTCATAATCTCTGCATTCATAGTCTGTACTATTCATACAAGATGTGGCAAATGGCTGAGGCTTTTTGTGCCTGGTTCTTGTATGTGCCTATGGTTACAGTCTATGCTTAATAATAATCATGATACTAAACTTTTATTCTTCCTAGGCTTAAGTTTATCCTGGTTTAATTTGAGGAAAGCGTCTTATCTTTGTTCCTAGCTATTCAGCATATTAAAAATTACTCATATGCAAAATTAATTATTCTGAAGTGCTGATTGTGGCAAACTGACAGAAGAGCGTAAGATCCTGTGAGTTTGTATTGTCACTGCAGTGGCTGAGAGGTTTGCACAGATCCCAGTGTAGAGAAATGCCTTTCTGACACTTAATGCTGTTGTATCTGATGCTTAAAAAAAAAATCTGCTCCAATGATGTAGTATTCTGATCTTTAACATGAGTAATCAAATTATATCTATGTGTATGTGTAACTTAAAAATAGATGACCAAAATGTTTTTTTAAGTAAAAAGACTAACTGCTGAATTTCAGTAGTGAAGTGTTGTAAAGTTAAAAAGCTAAATTATTCAGATGTCTGATGCCCTCCTATAAATTAAATAATCCCAGAAAAAGATGAAAAAAAACCAAAATGTGACTTCTGTCAAAAAGTTCTGAGGAACAAAGAGAACTTCTGTAGGCTCAAAGCTATTCCTTGTCCTTTTTAGTGGTTTGCTTAAGAATGTTATGCTGAGGCAGTTACAGATGGAAATATGGAAAAAAAAGGTGCATTGTTTATTAAAGATAGGATCAGTTCTATAATGGCATCTTGTGATTGTGCAGTAAGTACTTGTTGTAAGATAGATAAAAAGAAGTTTTTGTTTAACCTCACATTTTATGTAACTGAAATTTTAGAGGATTCTTGTATTTTCAGTGTCTCTTTCCAAGAGCAATTCTCTGTTAAATGTTAAGTAGCTAATTAACAATAAATGCTCTCATCATGAGTCTTAGTAAACTTCTGTTCCGAGAATCGGTGGTGGATTCTAGAGTTTAGAAGAGGGGATTTTGCCAGCTGAGATGATGTTCATGAAATCTGTTAATTCTTATCAAAATTAAAATGTGCAGAAATTAATAGATTCTGGTAAAGGACTACACTGGGTTCAGGCAGTGCTTCAGAGAAGTCAAACCCAAATTTTGAACTGCTAGAATCCTTGAAACAGAATTGACATTTGCTGTCCACATCTGCTTGTTCTCTTTTTGTAAAAAAGTTACATTCCTGTAGTATTCCAGTCGTGCTGGTTAATTGACAATAGGTGAAGAGACTAGGCAGAGGCAATGGATTTGTTCAAATGTCTTTACAAACATTTTTCAAAGCTGGAAAGTGATTTTTTTTTTTTTTTTTTTTTTCCCAGGGTACATACCTGAATTAATTTTGTGCATGTTGGAGAACAGGTTACCTTATTTGATTGCTAGATAAAAGTTGTGCTTACTCAGCATTTTTAAAGAAGGAAACTAAACACTTTAAAGAAGAAAATTAACTTCTCAACAAGAAAACAGAATACTGTGTACTGTCTTCACGGTCTGTTTAATTGTAAATAAAATGATAGGTGCAAACATGATCAAAAGAAGATACAAGTAAGTTGCGATAAAGTAAGCTTGGTTTTGAACTTGCAGACCCTATTGGCTTGTAGCTACAGTCACCAGACTCTGGCTGCTTGATGAAGGCAGTAGTAAGCCAGGTAACTTACTCTGCATCATTGACAGGAGTCGGCTGTCTTGAACTACATTGTTTGTACTTCAGGGTAAGGACATTCTAAAACGTATACTTGCCTGTGTATTGACATAATCGTTAAAGTATTGTACGTGTAGTATTGAATTTTAAAAAACTGATGAAGAAAAAGTGCTGAAACCTCTCATCTTAATTCAGGCATTTCATTCTTGTGTATCTGGTACATCACTGATTTTTCCTTTTCTCCTCCTTCGATGATCTTGTAGCTTGATGTGGATGCTCGCTCTTCCTTCACACTTCTCAAGCCTAGTTTGTTAATTCTTTGCACATGTTGTAAAAGCATTTTTAAAAAACAAACACACAAAGCTTAGTTTACAGCTCTCCAGACCATTTGATGATGAGCAACATCACTTCTGCCAGAATAAAAAAAAAGTTTACAGGATAATATTTTTAAAGTCCCCTTCATTTTTATGAACGTTACACAGTCAAGTGAAATCTAAACCCATGACATGCAACATATTATATATATATTCTGTAAATTGTATGTGACAAAGGAATTGGTTGATTTGTTGGCCAAGCTCAACACAATTTTGTTGGTTTTTCATTTTACATCAGAGTCAGAGATGTAAAGGGCTGCCCTGAACTTAAATGGGCTGAAATGTGCTGATTTGGGGAGACGTTAGAGCATTGGTGAAAAGAAAGAGATGCTTGGGATATTCTTGTATCCTGTAAGATTTCTTCATCTTATCAAACATTTCTGTTACTGTCTGTTGCTGGCATGCCAGAATGCCTTAAGGTACGGTGGTCTTTGCTGATAAGGCGGGTGGAGTTTGGTAGCGACGGTGCATGCTAGCTCAGAATAATAATAAAGGCAGGAATGGCAGAAAGCCTTTGGGAAGGGGGACACAGAGCCAGCCGTTCGCGTTGTGAAGTGCAGAAGGAATGTATGGGGTGATGGTGCGGACAGTACGGGGTGGAGGAAGAATGTCTACTTTAGGATTTACAAAGGTATGTTGAGGATCCTTGGCAAGCTTTAAAACTTGCTATTGTGGCATCACTGAGAGAAGGGGAGAAAGAAGATAGGAATGTCCTACAGGGAATTTAAGATTATTTCTGTAACATTTATGAAGTAGGGAGGAATGACATAAGGACTGATGTAGGAGACAGATTATTAGTGAGCGTTAGAGTGTACTATAAGCCTGACTGACAATGTATGAAGCGTTATCTACCTTTATCTTTCCTTAATGATGTTTTAAGATGATCTTGTGGAATCTGCAATTACAGGGAGGGCAAAAGGATGTAAAGGAATTGCCAGAAAATAAATAGAATTTAGAATCAATATTCTTCAGTGTTTTCTTTTTTCTTTCAGCAAAAACAATAGCAGCTGCAGGGGTGAACAGACACTTCTCGTAAAGTCATAGTTAATCTGTTAGCTTAGTTGTAACTCAAAGATTTTGGAATAGTTTTTTGTACTACTAGGACTTTTGTAGATGAAGAAGCTCTGTAATAAGAGTTCTGAGACCTTGAGGCCTTCATTCAGAAAGTGCTGTTCTGTACTGCTGCTCCCCTCAGAAGGTTCTGGCTGTCCTTACGGTAGTGGAAATCACATAAGCGAGCTGTTCGTGCTGCTGCGTCAGGCCAGGCACCGTAAGAGAGAAAATACTAGGCCATAAGTCTGCTTTGTGTACACTTAATAGAGGGTTATTTAAAGCTTATGCCAACAAACTCTTCTTAAGAGATTGGTGGGGGAGGGTGCTTTATTTCTGTAGGAGCTATATCCAGTGTAAAATACAGTCGAGCCTGAAGTTAATAACAACATTTCATCCTTGAAAATAGAAGACGACCTTCTGTAGATTATGAACCTGTGAGACTGTATATGGACAGTCCTACTGAAGTTGGATATGTCTGCCAATTTACGGCAAATATTGTTATAGAAACCACTTACAAGCTCAGCTAATTGAAAGTAATGTTCTGCTGATAAGTCTTGAAGTTTTAAATGTTCTGAAGGCTGTGGAAGAGCAGCAGCTGTGTCTCTGAAGGGCTTCCTTCTCTGTCGAAGAGTGTGGATATCCAGGTTTTTTGACTACAAGCCATTTATGCCACTGAAGCAGTTTAATGCTGCGCCTCTGCATGGCTAAGATGTTTTGTGCACTGTAGTAATTTTCCTGTAATATCATTGTATTCATGGCCCATAGAAGGAATGTGTTCAATGCTGATTAACTAGACAGCTGTTGTAAACAGTAATTTGGTTGGCTTCTGTAGTAACTGAAAGAACGGTTTCCCAAACCTGTCTGCAACTTAAAATAAACCTGGGAGAGTGTCACTGAGAAGCTTCACAGAGAGACTCTTAAGAGTAGTTTTGTTGTACAGCACCCATTGCTGGATTTAAAACACATTTCCAGAAAGCCACGTGGCATACTGTGTGGAGCAGAGGTGGCACAGAGCGGAACATTCCGTGTCTGCTTGGAAGCAAGTTGTCATTGCTGCCTGGTGGCAAGCACCCCCCTTTGCTAACAGTTGGTATGTGATGTGGCACTGGCTAGTCTAGTAGGGTTATTGTGAGGGAAGTGTGTAATTATAAAGGCACACTGGCTCTGTGTTATTTAAAAAAAAAAAAAAAAAAAAATTTGATCCTTGGAGAATTCTGTGATGGGCGCGTTCACTTGGGTAAACTTGATCAATCCCTACCCTGATGATCCGTGGTTGTAAACTAATCAGGCTTTTAGTTTTGCCTTGGTGAGTTTCGTTAGGGTGGATGATCTACCAAATCCTGTTGTTTTTCCATATTGACTAAAGAAGTGAAAGCAACCACGTTGTGTTTCTTTCTCTTGTTGTGGGAGATTCTGCATACTCTTTGTAAGTATGGCCATGAAGTTTTTAATGCATATTACATTTCAACTAAAAGCTACATAGACTGATTGACAGCAGGGCACACGGCTTGGGTACCAATGGGTAAATGACGGTCTCTGACAGAAAGAGTGAGGCAGTTAAGCAGTGCTGGCTGTGACTTACAACTGCATGTTGTGTTTTCCAAAAGCAAGGTGGGGAGGGCTTGCTCAGGTCTGGGGAGTAGGTGTTTGAAGATTTCGGAAAGCTTTGAACGACCAACAAGCTTACCTACATCACCTAGATTCAAACTCAAGGTGAATATTATGGGGATAGGTTTCCACAGCTTCTCGAGAAGAGACCATTGTGTTTGCATGATATGCCATGGTATGTTTTTGCTTTGCTCATCTAAGTTCATGGAGTATGTATAGTAGTGTGGCAAACTGAATTTTTTGTTTTGGTTTTGCCTAATCACTTCATAAAACTTAAATGACAGAATGAAGTCTATCGGGTGGTTGCAACTGATGTTGGTGCAGCTTGTGGCTGTTTGTCCTGTGTGTTTTGTTTTCCTGGTGAATTCACTGTACTGAAGCTTACACTATCACACAGGTATAAATGCAAATCTATAAATGTAAAAATACATTCTGTTCGGTTACAACAGAGGGCACAGTGTGTTCTGCATGTTATGTCTGAAGTCAATTCACATGTTTTGTTAACTCTGGAGTAATTTTTTAATGTTCCCTCAGGTTTCTCTTTTACACGAGTTTAAAGCTGGAGCAGTGTAGTACATGCCTACTGCGTGAAAATCAAAGTATGAAACTGGATGGTCTTTTTTGTTAGTAGGGAGCAGTAGTGTCCAAAAGAAATGAAGCCTGAAGTTGATAAGACAAACAAATCAACCAGCAAATACAGTAAAAACAATGGTGACTTTCTTTTGTTTCCTGCAGTCTTGTTGTTGTCGATTATGGATTATTAGAATAAGAGTCTGGTCTTTAGCAAGTGATTGTTTCCTTTCAGAACTCTGCTTGCTGTAACTTTCTGCTATCTCAACATGTCTTTCTAAATGTCATCATGGCCAGTTTTCCACCTGCACTTGTTCTGTTTGTAACATTTACCGGTACTACCCACTATTCTGAAATTGCTTGGTAATAAAGTTAACATTAATTGAAACCCTATAGCATAGGAAATGAAACATTTGAGGAGTTGTAAAAAATATTTTTAGCATTTGAGATTTCAGGTATTCCTTTGAAATTGAATATCCGTGTTTATGTTGTTGCTCTTGTTTTTAGCCTGATTTTTCTTACTTGTGGGAAGTCGTTTTCCCACAGAAGTGAAATACAAGGTAGGGGTGGTCAGCACCCAGGAAAAGCAAGAACTTGTTTGTAACTTTAAAGTTCATAGAAGAGCAAGAATTTTATTTTTGAAGCAAAGCTTGTAAAGATTTAAATGATGCAAGAAAAACTGACTTGGGTTTATGACAATTTATTCTTTTTCACTTCAGGTGCGAGAAGATGTGTTAAACTCCTTGAATAACAACTTTCTACAAACACTAAACCAAGCATGGAATGATCATCAAACAGCAATGGTGATGATTAGAGACATTCTGATGTATATGGTGGGTAATCTGCTTTTTCACACATTTACTCGATATCACTTGAAAAATGCATCTGATGAAATGGTTGAATTCTGTAATTTTAAAAAATAAGCTAGTCAGACTCATCCTGGCAGGTTATAGATGGTCATTGTATGTTTTAGTTCACATAGTGTTAGTTTTTACTGTGGAAAGCCGCATGGTGTAAAGCCTGCTCAAACTTCCAATGTAGTTGCTCTTTGAACATGAGGGTTTGAAAGGGATAGCTTTGCTTAGGTACAGTCTGTGTCCTTGAATGCTAAACTCTGATTAATCGTTTGCGGTGCATATCGAGCTTGAATATAAGATTAAGCAGTGTGAATAAATGAGAGTATGATCTTTGGTTGCATGGTTGTAACTTAAAAAAAAACAAAAACAAATCAAAAAAAGCATTAAGCATTCCTTGCCTGAAAGCTAACGGAAAAGGCCTTTTTTGAAGAGAGAGGGCCTTACATTTTTGTGTCTGGATTATGTTATGCTTTAGGTAGTTGGTATATGTTTAAATTCCCAGAATGGTGGGCATGCTCTGAGGTTGCAAGCGAGTGCATTTTTATATAGCTTCTTGGCAAAGGCTTTAACTGCAGAAGGAAAAGAAATATGTCTTGAGAAATTCTAGTTTTTTATGTAAAATCTTTTTTTTTTTTTTTTTTTCCCAAAATAACGTACTGAAGATAGTACTTTATGCAGTACTTTATCTGTCCTTCACTGTCTAACACTGCATAGTGGTAGCTCTTCTGGGTTTGGGGTTTTGTTTGTTTGGGGTTTTTTTGGTCAAAAAAGATGATTCACTAAGATTGTACTCTATCTGCTGAACAATTGGAGTTAAGATCTTGTATTGTAGCTGTTAAAGATCTCATGCTGTGAAATTGAACCAGTTTGTATTAACTATGAAGAAATCCTGCTTGGTTACTAAGCTACTAGAAATTAAGGAATTTGTAGTAATTATTGTAGCCGCATGATTTAATTTTTTATTATTTCTTTAAGTAGGTTTACCGCCTTTAGTGTGGGGAGATTTTTTTGTGGTTTTGTTTGGTTGTTTTTTTTTTTAAAGTTGGGAAAAGACCACATCACGTTGTCACTCAGTAGGTATATAACTGGGGTCTAATTCTTCATACAGAAACCTCAGAGGAAAGCCCTGAAAACCAGAGGAATAAAATGCCTTCAGTGACCCTTAATGATCAGTGTATCTCATCTTGCCATAAGGAAGACTGAGAGATTATTTTGAAGATGTATGATCTTCCCTATGGAATCTCTGTTCTGTTTGTGAAGGACAAAGACCAATCAATTGCTGCTAGCTGTGTCTGGGCAAATTCAAGAACAGTTAACAATTAGAGTAATCTATCAAAGCTGGCAGTGGATTTTCAGAAATGTTAAGAGATGCAGTCTGGACCTTTTGTGGGGAGTAGCTGTTGTGGTTTAGCCATCAGTACAGGAGGTTCTGGGTGCTCCGAGGTATACAGATGGTCAGAGTGGATAATGCAGTGTTATCTACTGCTCATAAATTCAGTAAATCTCTGATCCCTCAGTGTCAGAGAAAGCTGGTTTATCAGCTGCTCCTGTTTTGGTGTATTGACCAGCATACTGAGGACCAAGAAGTCACCTCTTTGAGGAGGTGTTACATGCTTCAGTTAGCACTTTTGGGGGGAGATGACAGCTGTTTCTTAAGTATTTTTTGTGCTCAGGAGAGTAATGCCTTGACTTTTGTTTGAAGCTTGCAAATGCCGTTAGAACAGACAGCCTGCCTTCTCTTTTTCCACCAAAACTTCAGAAGATGGAGACCTGCAGCATTCCCACAAGTGTGAATTGGACTTCATTTGGTTGTATTTTAGATTCAGAACAGAATAATAAAGAATATTTCTGGAATACGTAGTCTTTCTTATGCTGTTTGACAGTTCCTAATTATTTCAAGTAGATCTACAGTTGAGGCCTCCCCTTGACTAAGTATTTGCTTCCCACAGACTTTTTTCCTTGCACCAAAAAGAGACCCAAGGAAGCAGAAAAGATACATTGACAATAAAATATTTTTATAGTATAATAGTAAAAATATAATAAATTTTTCTTTCAAAATGCTTTTATAAATTTATCAAACTTTGGGAGCACTGGTGTCTGTTAAACATCTATAATGTCACATGCGTTCATGATTATAAATTTAATCTTTATTAGATAGAATTATATAATGCAAGGAGCTGACACAATGGCTAGACTCCTTTCATTAGAAAATACAGGGTTTGATTACAAATTTAAGCATAAGCGATGGTTTAAAATGGGTCCAGTCTAAAAGATTTGCAGTTTCACCTTTCTCCCTGGGGTGTGTTGCCGAGTCAGTGTTGTGGTCTGGCTGCCGGCAGCACAAAAAGCGCCAGCCCCTCTCCACGACCGCTGCTGCTGCGAGCTCCCAACCCGCGAGTGAGTTCCTGCCGCCCAGCTCGCCCCCACCGGCACCCAGCATGGCGGCACATGGTATGGAATACCCGGCTCTGTATGGCCAGCTGGGGTCAGCCCGCCCTGACTGTGTCCCTTCCTGGAGTCGGTGAAAATTAACCCTGTCCTGGCCGAACCCAGGACAGTCAGACATAATTCTGCTCGTTGGAAAGTGACTAAGAGAAGGAAACTTCTAGTCGTAAGTATGTTTTCATTCAAAAAATCTGAAAAAGCTGCTACTACTGCGATATTATAAAGTGGAGGAACATCTGTCAAAGATGAGACCTGACTGCTCTTCAAAGAAACAATCTTCAAGAACTTTATAAAATAAGGAATGATTTGTTCTTTTATGACGTTGAGTCTGAATGAAATGTAATTTTATGAGGATAGGCTTACGTCAGAAGTTGTTTGTACCTTTTTATTCGAGCACAGCTAATACAATTCACATTAAAAAAAAACACTGTAAAAAATCAGTCACCAGTGTTAATTGATATGCTTGTGTTCCACCAGAAGTAGTATATGCAATTATAATATGTTTATAAATAAAGGATAACTCAATCCTTTTCCTCTTATTTTGTAGGCCATCCCAATTACTTACCCATCAGTTTCAGGAAATGTACCTATTGGTACCCAACAAGCCACAGTCTGATGTCAGTAAAAGTAAAACATTTAACATCTGCTTGAATTCTGAACTTACTCTCTTAAATTCTTGCTTCAGCCTAGTGATTGTACATCTGAAACTAAACCGTATCTCTTTTAATGCGATGTTTGTTTTTCAGCTTGTTTTCACCCAATAGCTCCCGTATGATCTAAGTCAAAACAAACTCCAACCCAGCTTAATCTCTTTCCTCTGTATTATTTTAGAAGTGGCAAAATAACAATGAATTCAAATATATACCTTTCTAAAAAATATCTATTTTGTCTTTTGTCCAGTGGGGTTTGTGCATTGTTATGATACTTAATGGCTAGAATACTTGCTGCTTGAGGATAATGGCAGGATTTCATTTTACGTGCAGGACCTCTTACACAAGACGCTCTATAAAGCTTGCCTAATAGTTGCATTTTTTAAAAAGTGTATTACCTTGTCTCTGGTGTCATGATTGCTGCCTGGTAAAAGTCTGCTTGGTAATGTAGTTCCGGTGTGAGGTTTTGCAACTGGAATTGCACGATATAAGCAGATCTAACTTTCTTCAGATATTCCAATTTCCACAAGTGAATTTGGAGTTTGTGTAGTTCCACTGTATTTTGTGGCACATGTGCGCTAGCTCTCCTCCGTTTGTTTTACATGTTTAGGCTACAGTAATCAGTGTCAGAATGGATGTCATACTCTGTAAACTCATGGCACTGTCTGCAGCAAGCAGTGAGGTACTGAAGCACTGAAGTCGTGTCCCAAGTAGTGTCTTCACTATGTCAAGTCATGTACTAAGACATGTTCGAGTAGTGATGTACTGCATTTGGGCATGTCTCAAATTGTTTCCTATGGCTGCAGTGTAGGTAAGCGCACCTACAGTAGTTTTTATTTAGCTGCTGTATGTAACCGTAGCAGCAGAGGTGCGGTTGTTCGGTCCTCTCTTCAAGTTACATGAGCATGACTATTCTTGGAACGTCTTATGGAAACTGGGCTAAACTGCATTTTGTGGTGTCCCTTCTTCACTACTTGTACTTGCTAAATTTAAAGCAATTTCAGGTATGCAAGTGCAGCAGTCACACCCTTGGCTGCATTATAAGCATGTGGGTAGTGCCAGTTAAACACTGTCAGAAATGAACTATTACTCTTGCGAATACACCTGTGTATTTTGCAGAGGGCAGAGCATTCCTTTCTCATCTGTGAGGTGCACAAAGCCGGTGTCTTGATTTAGGCCAGCGCTGACAGATCAGCTATGTGAGTTTTGACTTTGGGGCATATGACTGCCATTGTTCATGGCTTACGCACAAGGTGGTAGGGAGAAGTGTTGTTTTTATCTGCAGAACTAGAATGAAAGACACTTGCTGTATGTATCTATATATATACATAGACACACAACAATGTCTGAAGGCTACATTCTCCAGGTAGTGGATCCATGCAGAGAGGAGGCAGAATGTGGCTGGTGATACTTTACGGTAGGTAACTTGCTTTAGTTGAGATCAGAATGATTCTGCAGTGTAAGCAGCATTGTAGTTTATGAATAATTGCTGTCTGAAACTCCACCCTTGTCTCCTGAGAGTTACTCTTACCTTTTAAGCACCTGCTGCATCTCCCTGTGGGAAGTGATTGCTGTTCAGTAGCATGTAGCCTTGTCAGTAAAACCTGTTCCCACATGGGGCTTCCTGTCTCGAAGTGTAGTGGTTTAGGTTGGGAGAGCTGCCAGCAAACAGCGAAAGCGGGCTGTTACCAAGGGTAAGCAAGGCAGCAGTATCAGAAACATTAATGCTGCTGCTCTAATTTGGGTATTGTAGAGTGGTCTGGCTTACTACAGAGGCATTGCTGTTACATGGAGAAGAGTTTCTAGTGCAGTTACTATTTCATTTCATGATGGCGGTGTTTAGCACTGCCACAACAAGCTATTGCAGATGAGTCATGACCATGGCTTTAATCCATTTTGATACACTGCTGCTTGTGCTTCAGAGGCCTGAATATTCTTCAGAAATAATATATGTATATTTTTCTCCTCAAGTCAGAGTATGTTAAACACTACTTTTCAAGTTTTTTTTATCACTCTGAAAGTGTATTTTAAGCTTCTCTTACTTCAGAATCACATTTACTTCTGTTCTCGATGCAAGTGTGTAGATAAAGGAGTGAATTAATAACCCTTTTCTAAATAACAGAAAAATTAGAGTAATGTATTCCAAAGATCTAGACCACCATGTGTCTCTAAACTGACTTCATGAGACCAATTAGTAAATTTTTTGGTTTGAGGCAGGACTGAGCTTGCCTCAGGAGCCACAGAGTAGGCGTAGCTGACCTGTTCACGTCTTGTTTTTTCATGTAAATTAAATGCTGCCTGTCTGAAGGGAGTCAGTGGGAAATCATTCATGAATTGTGGAACCCAATGTTTCACTTTCCTCTGGTCATCAAGTGGCAATCTGGCATATAAGTAGTATATGAATAATTTTGCCATGTAGATTCAGCTGCTAAAATACTAGTCGGGCATCATTCCTTCTGATGTCTTCTAATTGCAGAATTTATATAAGCTTATAATTTTGTAATCTTTTTTCCATAGTCTCAAGAATGATTTTTGTTTAAATGGTTCTGTTTTCTAGGTGTTTGAGAAACTTTACATGTCAATTCTGAGTGTGATAAAGCACTTAAGATAATTGATGGAACCAGTGGAAAAGCCAACCTTCATACTCAATTTCAAACATGGATCTTCATCCTTTATAGAATTTGATTTTTTTGTTTAATTTTGTTATAGCTGTGTTAATTCTCAGGAAACCTTATCACAGTGAGATTTGTGAGTGGGTACAAAACTCGTAACTTATTCTAATAATACCACCTGAGGCTTAAATGGTACTAAAGCAGAATTTTTAGTAATTACCCAAACTATTGAATTAGAGGAGTGGATTATGCCCTGACAGAAATTAATAAAATAATCATTGTTTGTCTCGGAAACAGTTTGTAAAGACTCACAATTTTTATATTCTTAATGTTGTTTTAAATGGTCTTATCTGGTATGACACTACTGGATATTAAGTGAATACGTTCATTTTCTGTCTGCTGGTAGCTGTATTAACAGTCTTCCTTTTCTAGACAGTTGATAAGTTGGGAGAGGGGAGTAGAAAAGGGGAGAAAATTTATTGGAGCGTATCTGCAGGTAACAGTAAGAAACTCAGGTTATCTGCTCAGCAGTGTCTCAGCTCTGGGTGTTGGTGTTTGTGTCGTGGGCTTGGAATGCTGTTCTGAGGAGCAGCCTCCAGATGTAAATGTAGGTGGTACAGGGCTAGCGGATAGCTCAGGAGCTTGATCCTTCCTGTAGGCTGAGGTTATGTAGGGAGATAGAATTTAAACCCAGACTGGAACATTAAAAATATTCTTTCCTCTCTCCTTCTTCCTTTCTTTTTTTGGGAATGAGTGTATGTGTACGATCTTAATGAAACATAACAAGATTTCAAGATACTTGATTGAGTCGAATGAAAGTGATTTTTTTTTTTTTTATGGGAGTTCAACAGTGGTCCTTATGTACAATTCTGCAGTACCATAAACATTTTGGTTGTAACTATTCTAATTTTGGCTTTACTTTTTTCTTCTGTTCATCTAATAATGCTATTTCAGGAAATTTCACTGAATATTGAGGGGGACCTGTCTGCGTAAAGGGAGTGATAGGAAGATGCATGGGAGACGAAGAAAAATGAATTAATTTTTCTGGAGGGGTTTGACTAGATAAGTAAAACCCCTTTCAGACTGCACCATGAATTTTGTCAGTATTTGGGGATTCCCCTGCCCCCAAACTAAAACATTACAAGGCTGCAGATTTGTTATGGTTTTTAGTTATAAGTGCTGTGCTTATACTCTTAAGCAAAGTAGAATTCCTGTGTAAATGAAAATTTGGAAAATTTGGACTGATTTTGAATTTTGAGGGTATTCATTATTTCTACTTATGAAGAAAAAAGAAGATCAATTTGGTTATTTCTGTACCATGCGAATATGACCAGTCTCTTGCAATGTTGAATAGCATGGGTGTACTGAATTTACTGTTTTATTGCTGTGTATGCATTCATTGTAGGACCGTGTGTATGTGCAACAAAATAATGTGGAGAATGTCTACAATTTGGGCTTGATTATTTTTCGAGATCAAGTTGTACGCTATGGCTGTATTAGGGATCACCTACGGCAAACTCTGCTGGATATGATTGCGAGAGAAAGGAAAGGAGAGGTGGTGGACAGGTAAGATGTTTGTAAATGACTGTCTTTTGTTGTAAATAATCCCTCTTGATTTTTAAGAATGAATCAGGAACATAAATAAATCATGACTTAGGTCTGTGTTTCTGATCACAGGTAAAATTTCTCCATGATCTGGAATAACATACTACTTTGTACCTGAAGGTTTAACATAATGGTAAACGGGGAAGCTTGTTAATAAATTTTTTTTTTTTAATATTTATCTTGTGGTTTTTGTTAACACGTTTGTTAAATCTCTCTGTTACCTTGTTGTCCCAGAGCATTTCGTTATAAAACTGGTGTTTTCATAGTTCTCTGACTCTTGCTGCCCTGTATTTCGTCTATCCTCAGAGGTGTTTTAATTTTCTTCTACCTGTGTCTTGGGGGGGGGGGGGGGTTTGGTGTTTTTTTGTGTTTTTTAAGTTTTCTTTTTTAGTTCTGGTTTCCTTCCTCATGTTTTGATCCATCTGTTTCTTGGCAGTTCAGTTGCATCTCTGAGCTTTTAGATCTGTTGCTCATGTTCTCCAGCCAGTTTAGTAGATGTGGAGTTTTGTGCCACACACTGTGGATACTGCAGCTGGAGTAACTTCAGATTTGCAAGTTTTCTTGTGCTGCTCCAGTTTCAGAGCAGCTGTTGGGCGTGGAGAGATATGTAAACCTCATGCTACTTTGTCTGCAGTTCTGTGATTGAGGTTGCCCAACATGCAATTTATGAAGAGAAAAAATATTCCCTGGCAACAGCTGTGTATTGTCCCCTACTGCCAGAAAGTGGAATTTTTTTCCTGGATGCAGTTCTTCTGTTTTCGCATTTTATTGATGTGTTTCTCTGCCTCACCAAATGCTTAACTTGCTGATACTTTTTTCATTTTGTGTTGTTTTTTTTTAAAAAAAAAACCAAAACAACCGACCTAACAAACAACCCAAACTTCGCACGGCAGCTTTCATCTGTGCAGTTGTTTTGAATTGCTCAATTCCAGCCTACGTGTGCAGTTTTCAGTTTTCTTTGAAGTAGTATTTTTCTGTTATATTCTTGTGTGCTGAAATATATTCTTATGAGTTTTCCAAGTTAATAGAACTTGAGACCTCCTTCCCTATCACTGTATTTAAAATATTTAATAAGAATTGTCAGCTCCTTAGTTGAGAGCAGAAACAAACAATCTTGCTCCAGTAATCTTCTTGAAAACCTGTCAGGTACCAAGTAGATTTAGGATGGACTTTCAATTACTACATCTTATTTAAGTTGACATTATGTTCTGAGTTGTTGTGCTGCTGTGTACTCTCTCTTTCAAGCATGTAGATTTCTCAAGTTATTAACAACTTACTTTTTGGCAGAGGCGCAATAAGAAATGCTTGCCAGATGTTAATGATTCTAGGTCTTGAAGGAAGGTCAGTCTATGAAGAAGACTTTGAGGCTCCGTTTTTGGAGATGTCTGCAGAATTTTTTCAGGTACAGCAATGTTGTAACATCATGTGTGGAATGTTGTTAGAACTGCTTGGAATTGTGAGAATTGATGGTCCTTTAAGTAATTGCTACTTATTCGTTGAATATGTCCATCTCCATTAAATGAAATAAGAAAAAAATCTACTAACTTTGTGGAAAAAGTACCACAAATTTTACAGAACGATGATAATTTGGATGTAGGTTTGAAATACGGGTGCTGATAGCATGTGGAGTGATGATTGTGCTAATCTTGTACGTGCTTTGGGCTATTTCATGCCATTTAGTCTATCCCTGTGTTGCAGCCACTTCTGGAAATACCAGTAGCATGAAAGGTTCAAACTTTTTCAGGGAGGGAATGGAGAGGGGAGACTACCTGTCAAACTGCCTTTGAGGAAGCTTTGTTTCCCTCAGAGGAAGCTTTGTTTCCCTCATAGTTTCTATATTTATGAGTTATATTTTGTAGTAAAATGAACTGAGTCAAGGAATGAAGTGTATCCAAGGGGCTATCCAGTTGTTGACCAGCTACTGAATAACACATTTTAAATATTTCCTGAGTTCTTTTGTGAGATAGTTTCAGGAAAAATGCCAGTTGAATGGTTGTCGAGTGTAATCATGCTCCTCCATTGTGGGAAGTTGATAGAAATTGTAAAACATGTTAAAAGATATCTAGATAAGATAATTTGTCAGTCTCCCAGTTCTGACGCAGGATTGACTGGCTGTCATCCTCTGATCTCCAAACTTCTTTGAAAAGCAGAAGCGTGTGTTGCACAGCCTTTTAAAAGTCATTCCATTCTGTTCAGTGTTACATAAAATTAAGAAAAATAACTACTTTCATTGAAGTTTTATTTCTTGGCTCTGCCTTAAAAAAACAAAAAAATCTTTCCTGTGAGAGACTGTGCTGACTAGTATTGATAAAACCAATTTGACATGAGATAATGTGCATTGTCATTCACGAGAATAATGAGACCTGTTGATCCTCACAACTCATAAATATGCCATAAACTGGTATTTGAAAGGAATCTTTGCCTCTTCCCTCTCCCCATCCTTCTGTTTTCTTTGGACCTGTGGCTAAAACTCTAGTTAGTAGCTGGAAAGTAGGTTGACTTCACAGAATCACAGAATAGTAGGGGCTGGAAGGGACCTCTGTGGGTCATCTAGTCCAACCCTCCTGCTGAAGCAGGGTCACCTACAGCAGACTGCACAGGACGTTGTCCAGGCGGGTCTTGAATATCTCCAGAGAAGGAGACTCCACAACCTCCCTGGGCAGCCTGTTCCAGTGCTCCGTCACCCTCAGAGGGAAGAAGTTCTTCCTCATGTTCAGACGGAACTTCCTGTGCCTCAGTTTGTGCCCATTGCCCCTTGTCCTGTCACTGGGCACCACTGAAAAGAGCTTAGGTTGTTTTAGTATGAAAAATAGCATGTTCATATTGCATGTACCTCCTTCTGTATGTAACACAGTGTGATAGAACTTTTATTTTGTGTGAAGCATGTATGTAAATCTTGAGGATATAAGATCTCATTTGCTGGACATGCTGGGTTTGAATTGAACTTGCTTATCAATGCTAATCTGAAATAACCAGTACATTTCCTTTTTCCCCTATAAAAAAAAATCATCTAAAGTATTAATTTGTGTTAATCACAGATGGAAAGTCAGAAATTTTTAGCTGAAAACAGTGCTTCTGTATATATAAAGAAAGTAGAAGCTAGAATTAATGAAGAAATAGAACGGGTGATGCATTGTCTGGATAAATCGACAGAAGAACCAATTGTGAAAGTTGTTGAGAGGGAGCTAATTTCCAAGCATATGAAAACTATAGTGGAAATGGAGAACTCTGGGCTAGTTCATATGCTGAAAAATGGGAAGACAGAAGGTAAGACTGCATCTTATGGGAAACAGAAATGCTTACGATACTGCCTGTTGTTTTTAAATGTAGGATAAGTAGAGCTTAATGTTTGTGTTCCTGTGGAATTGTAACACCACTTTGGTGGCTCTGCTTTGCAAACATGGAGAACATTACTTCAGAGACTTTTAGAGGGCTCTTGAAACAGAGCCCATATGTATAACTGGTTTCTGTTTAGTACCACATACAGGTACTTTTTTGGTAAGCCAAGTATCTGTTAAGAAAAGTACAAATCTGCTATAGTGGTCTTTGCTACCTGTTTTCCATGAGCCATTTTACTACTTTCATTCCTCTAGCGTGTAGCTGTCAAAATGCATCGGAGTTTCTGGCCCGCGGGCAGTTATTTAAAAAGTGCTAGTGTAACTTACTTAATTTAATAAAGGTATTGCAGGACCAATTCTCGGGGAGAGGGCTTTGTTGCAGGAAAACAAGTTGGCTGTTTTTAAAGGGTAAGAAGCTTATCGAAGTGGGTGAAAAAGAAGGGCTTGGCTTGATTTGGTTTTCCCTAATAGAGGTTAATATGGGACAGAATGACTGAATAAAGGGTACTATGGAAAGAGATAAAATAGAAGTTACTAAAGCAGTATAATGAAAAGAGTGATTGTAGTATCTATATTTAGAAATCAGTGTTCACGCTAAAGCTGTGAGAATGGGGAACAGACTTGCTGCTTAGATTAATGGCCTTTGTTCATTAAGCAGCTTCACAATTACTAGGTGATAGAGTGACAAAGTGAGCAAACTTCTTAGAAGAATTACTGTATTGAAAAGGAAAGCGATGATACTATGTTTTATGTTTTTTCTTTAATATCCGGTTAAAGTAGCCTTCCAGCTGAAGCTACAACCTTGTTGAAGGGTATTCATAATATACAGGAATATGTTTAATTTTTATAGGCCTTGGTTTGATTTAGGTAAATATTAGAGAGGAAATACTTGCTGCATTGTGAAGAGAAGATTTCATGTAAATGTACAAGGATGGATTGCACTTTTGGAAAGCTATGTGTAAGCTAAGCCACTTCTTATGATTTTAGATGGGTGAAACAAAGTGGTGTAAAATTATGTGGCTTACTTTAAGATAAATATGAATTAAACTCAAATTTTTACCAGTTTTTGCTTTTAATACAGAAAAAAGCATCTCATTAATGTTGTCCTATTTGCTTTAACTTAAAATTTTTCATATAACTTTTAATACAGTATTTGATTTTTGGGATGATAATGTTGGAAGCTACATTCTTAAATACCACTGGAAAACATAATCTTAGTGAAGCTCTGAGTGCACCATGCTGTAATGCAAGCATCAACTGCTGCTGGCCTGGGGATCAGCCATAGCAGATTCCATGCTGCAGACAACTTGTAATGATTCAATACAATCTTTGTTTTTAATTTTGTGGCTGCTGAGGTCCGCGTGTTGTCAGGGGTAAAGGAAAGGGGACATCAGAAGATTTAGCGCCTGACCTATTATGGGATGCTTTTTGTGGCTCATGTGGCTGAACTTTTGCTGTCCATTTTTGCTGTGAAATGAGTGAGTTACAGAAGTGCAACAGACAGAGGGTGTCCTGCATAATATCTCATTCTTGTTTCCAGACCTTGCTTGCATGTACAAGTTGTTTAGCCGTGTGCCAAATGGTCTGAAGACAATGTGTGAGTGCATGAGCTCGTACCTGAGAGAGCAAGGCAAAGCACTAGTTTCTGAAGAGGGAGAAGGAAAGAATCCAGTTGACTACATTCAGGTAGTTAAACGTTTTAGCTTTCTTTTATTCCATCTTTGCCACGTTCCCCGGAGTAACAGTTAACTACATAATTGGTAATGTAAACTTTAATATTTATTCTAAAAGGATTATTAATAATAAGCTACACTTATAATTTTGTTTAAAGTGTATATTTTCTGTATTTTCAGATATGTTTAGAACTCTTCTTTTACCCGAGTTGCTTGGAAACTACATGCTCTGTTTTTGTGCTTTTGGTGTAGCTGCTTTTCTTAAACAACATATTCAGGCTAATTATCTAACTACTGGGAACTTTCTGGATTATCCTAAATGATATTTGCCTCCATAGTGAGTTGTACTTCTGCAGGCAAATAGCTTTATGGTGTCTATTTTGTTTAATTTTATGTAATATGAGCTATCAACTTTTATTGAGACAAAAATCACATGACCGTATTTCATGGCAAGATTAACTATGACTGAGAGGTGAATGTGTTATAAATCATAACAAATTACTTGCTTCATTCTTGGTCTCCTGGAGAGACAGAACACTTCTGCATGTTAAAAGATGTAAGCATTCTTTCTTGTTCTGTCACTAAGAAGGGATGTGTACCATTAATTAATTTATCAAGATCACAAAATATGCTTCAGGAATGTTTGTCATCTTTTCTCCCCCCTTGTCTCTGATAAGATGATTTTAAATTTGCACATAAAATCTTTAGAGTTCATTGAGCTTTAAGGAAATGTTTTTATAGCTGGAAGATATTTTATGCGTAGTGTGAAAATGTGTATTCATTAAACGTGTTTTTGTTTTTTGTTTTTTTTAAATGTGTACTTGAAGTCCTTGTGTCTGGTCTTCATGAGAAACATTTAATGCTGTGTGTCTATCATCTCTGCTGTTTTGTTTGAAGTTAGTAACTTTGCTAGAACTGGTTACTGTTATAAGAAGCCATTTGAGTGTAAAACCATTTTTGATTGGATTATTAATTTTCTGACAATGCTGAAGCAAACTTCTTGCCAAGCTTGGACAAGAATCACCTCTCCAAGGATTGTTAAAATAAATGAGAATGCCCTTTGATATTTATTAGGTTTAATGGTTAAGGGCTGTTAAAGTTTTTGTTGTGGTATGATTAAAAAAAAATAAAATCATAGTCCAGCACTACTTCTGCAACATGACATCACCAAACCCTGAGCATAATTGGTAAGATGATTGCAAAAGCATTGCCGGGGGATTAAATTTAAAACTTCTTATAATAATTTGAAGATATATTAAAATGCTGCTATAATTTAAGGTACTAACAGTTTCTCCTGTTTAACACCAGGTTGTTCAGATGGTGTACTCCTGGAGAGGAGGCATAAGCTAACCTTGATAAACAGAGAGATAGTGGGATTTACTTTGAATGTATAATTTCTAATACACATTAATTAACCTGTCTAAAGACCATTCCTTTAAGTGAGATGGTGAGTTCCTAAGAAACATTACTGCTTCTTTTGAGTAATTCTTGAATGGCTTCTTTAAGTAACCACATAGAAATAATTCCTTAAGAAACCGAGGACTTTAAGACCATTTAACCTGAACAGGATTTTTGGGCACTCATTACCCATGACAGCCGTTGATTGAAACTTTCTCCATCCCCCAGCCCCCCCTCCAAATGCTGTCTTAGTTATGTCTAAACTCAGTGTGTATCATGTGTACTTAGCAAGGTGCTCAGGTGATTTTTAAGATGCTTCCCCCTTCTGCACTCACTTGTTTTATCTCTGGGTGAAGAATGTGCAAACCCTAAAAATGATGGTAAGAATCTGGTGATGAGCTCAGAGGCAGTGGTGCAGTTCAGGGCTGTGAACTTCACACTGTGGTAACTGGAGAGCTATTGCTTGTTGCTGACTTTCGTATGATCACAGTGACTCTTACAGGTCAGTAAGAAACATGTGACTAAATAATGCAGAACCGAGCAACGTTAGGCCTGTTGTCACAGTGCATTTTCTCCTCAAACTTGCTTAGTAGCTGTAGGGTGCAGTTAGGTGCTTAGCCTCATCTTTCCTGTATCCTGTATTTGTGGTAGTGACTTTGTCAACATTATTTAAAATAGAAGAGGCTTAATAAGTACAACAAATACCTCCTTCAAGTTGTAGATTTAAAAATACAATAAATCAGCCTGTTTAATAAGGGTGGTGAAAAAACTGTGTTAATCTTTGAGTAGCCTGTTACAGCAAACTGCACCAGTATTTGATGCCAATGTTTTAGCCAGTTTATCTGAAAATCGCTTCTAAAAGAGATTTATGGCAGCTATAGATATTTAAAAATGGAAATGAAATTTCAGATGCTTTCTAAAAATGCTGAACGTAGAGAGCTTTGCTGAATCTCTGGCTGTAGACATGGCCTTCTCTATTCATCTATTATTACTGTTTTACAGCTTACAACTTCAAATCAGTGAAAATGTTTTTGCTTTTTTTTTTTTTTTTTGAAGGGTTTACTGGATTTGAAGAGTAGGTTTGACCGCTTTCTTCAAGAATCTTTCAATAATGATCGACTCTTCAAACAAACTATTGCGGGTGACTTTGAGTACTTCCTCAACCTCAACTCCAGGTCTCCAGAGTACCTCTCATTATTTATTGATGATAAGCTGAAAAAGGGAGTGAAGGGAGTAAGTATAAATTAAATTAAAAGATCATGCTCTTTGCTGTGTAAACTTGGATGAAATTAAACTAAGCTACTTTTCTGAAAATTATTTTTATATTAAGATAAATGGCAATACTGCCTTTAAAAAAAAAAAGCGTATGTAACATGTCTGAGCTCATAACACCTTAGATATAAACTTAGAGAAATATAAGGCACAAGGAGATCTCAAGATGTTGTGTGGCTTGTCCGCCATCTCTGAAGCAGTATACTTGAATTACTTCTGGGAGGTAACTCCTCCAAAAAAGTTTAGATTGTAGTAGATTGTGCAGCTCCCTTCCTTCGAAACGTTAAATACATTTAAGGAAATTATATTTACAGTTTGGCAGTTACTCTCAATATCTCATAATTTCTTTTGAAAATTAACTCACTTGGTAGGTGAAGCAGTTTGCTTCTTTTTACTGCTTTTACATATTGGAGGAGTATTACCACATCTGTCTCCTCTAGATTAAGTATAGCTGTTTCCTTCAGTCTTACCTCATAGCTGCTTTCATGAAGTTTGTTGAGGTACAGCACCCAGAACTGGACAGGATTTGTTCAATGGCTCTGAATAAAGCTGAATATTATTGCATACATACTATGTTTTGGAAATCAAATAGTAAATTCTGTTTATTTATAGAATATGTAATCATTTTATTTGTTGTGGCACTAGACAGGCTTTGCCAAATGATTCTTAACACTTAAAAGCTTTCATTCCAAGCTAACTTCTCATACTTTTAATACGTGTTTTCCATCTGTGCTGTTTTTAAAAATACTTAAAAACTTATCCAGGAACTTTTACTGTATTAATCTAGGCATTCTGCCCATCCATCATCTCCATTCTCCTTCACAATTGCTTTTCCCTCCATTTTAGATCTATTACTTTCTCCATTCTGCTGAGCTTGTGCGCTGTTCTTTTGGCTCTGTCATTCACGTGTTGGACCAGTTTTGTTGGCTTCTTTATTGGGCTACTGTTTGACCATATGCTTGTTGTGAATTACTTTAAGTATTTAGGTTGTATAAGACACTTATGCTGGAAGGTTAAAACCAGAAAATTATTTCTTTTACAGCTAACAGAGCAAGAAGTAGAAACTATATTGGATAAGGCAATGGTTTTATTTAGGTTTATGCAAGAGAAAGATGTTTTTGAACGCTATTACAAGCAGCACTTGGCAAGAAGACTTCTCACAAACAAGAGTGTTTCAGATGACTCGGAGAAAAATATGATATCTAAATTAAAGGTAAGACAGTATCTGCGTACTCTTTTTTTTTCGTAAATACCGTTTATTTGTTTTTTACGTAAGGGATATATAGATATCGATAGATGCACTGATATATATAGGTGCACTGAGCCAACAGTGTGCCCTTGTTGCCAAGAAGGCCGATGATACACTAGCTTTTTCCTAAGTGGCATGATAAATGGCTAGGGAACTCCTGAACCCAATTGATTGGATCCTAAAATCAAATTTTACTAGTCCTCATTTTTGACCTTTGTATTCTGTCAGTGAACGAAGCCTGTTTGCATCAGATTTCCCCAAATTATCAGTATTGATTCCAAATTATCAGTATTGATTCCAAATTATCAGTATTGATTTCTTCCCAGTTACCTCTCTACCTCTTCTAGCCTCGTGGTTTTGAGGGCACAGGGCATACATTTGCAAGGTGAAACAGTGGACCAGAACTGCCCAGTTTTTTCGTGTCTTTGCACAGTGATCAGGATGCTAACACGTGTGCCTCTACCATGTATGTCAAAGTATGTGCTGGAAATAGGGACAAAGTCCTCTATGTGCAGCTGAAATGCATGCGTTTGTGCGCATGCGTTTGTGCATGCATATGTCCCTGATGCTCAGAAGGTCTAATAATCTCACCTGATAATCTGCAGTAAACCTTTAAAATTATACGCTCTTAGGACAACAGTGGTTCTTTTCTGATACAAATAAAGATTTTTACTTCACTTTACAGTGTCATGCTAAAAAGCAGGTGAAAGTGTATGCCTTGGTCTGATAAGCTTTCAGGGTTGTTTTTCTTTTAAGATAGACAGGAAGCTAAAAAGAAACCAAATAATGGAGAAAATAGAAGGAAAGCAAGTTTTGGTATGTGTAGACTTAGAGCCTTATAGAAAATAGGAAACTTTTTAAGTTCTGAAGGTAATGCAAATGGGATCCCAGTAACCAAACGTACAGACATATAATTTTTACGAGGTTTATAAACTAACTCTTAGTCTTGCAGTTCGCCTACCAGAAGCTCAGTTTTCCTAGCGCCAGTTGTTTTGTGTATTTCAGACTGAATGCGGATGTCAGTTCACGTCTAAACTGGAAGGCATGTTCAGGGACATGAGCATCTCAAACACGACGATGGATGAGTTCAGGCAACACCTCCAGGCAACCGGGGTAAGAGCGTGGGGGTCTGCGTGCTTGTCCTGTTACTGCAGTGCAAACCCGAGACCTCGATAAAGGCTTTCAGCGTTTGTTAGCGGGTGGGTGTGGAAGGAAGTCAGTCATTAGCATGCTCGCGTGGTGTTCCTTTGCTGTGTTTCTCAGCTGAGAAACTCTGTTAGTATCTCCCGACGTACAAAAGTCGGTTGGAAGCCTGGTCCGCAGCTGGAGCAGTGCCAGTTTCATGCCAGAGCAGCCTGTTCCTGCTTTCAGTCATTAGCATGCTCGCGTGGTGTTCCTTTGCTGTGTTTCTCAGCTGAGAAACTCTGTTAGTATCTCCCGACGTACAAAAGTCGGTTGGAAGCCTGGTCCGCAGCTGGAGCAGTGCCAGTTTCATGCCAGAGCAGCCTGTTCCCGCTTGCGTTGTACCCGCACGCCT